AGAGGAGGCTAAGGAAGAAGATCAAGGAGAAGGCTATTTGTCAGAAATGGATAATGAACCCCCTGTGAGCGAGAGTGATGATGGCTTTAGCATACACAATGCTACGCTGCAGTCCCATACACTGGCAGACTCCATCCCCAGCAGCCCTGCTTCTTCACAGTTGTGAGTATCTGAGATTCTTCTTTGAGGTCAAGACAGTGAAGGTGAGAGAAGTAGGAGAGGATCTTTTCTTCAGTCTTACTTCTTCATCTTCTCTTTCTTGGTCTGGAACTAATAGTTGACAAGAAATGATGAGGATTTTTTTTTTTTTAAACTTCTGCTTAATGGGACTCCTTTATTTTATTTCAGCTCTGTCTGTAGCGAGGATCAGGAAGCTATTCAGGCACAGAAAATCTGGAAGAAAGCTATCATGCTCGTATGGAGAGCTGCAGCTAATCATAGGTGAGTGAGCTTTAGCAGTCACTGGGAATGTTTTCTTCTGTTCCTACTCAATGTTCATGACTAGAGAGAAGTCTGAATAGGTTGGTATGGGATTGGTGGCATTGGCTCGTAAAATCTTCAGCTACTTAAATCATGTTCCCTCACCTATTTCTGAAGGATAACTAAGTCATTGTACCTTACCTTTTTTGAACAGATATGCCAATGTCTTCCTGCAGCCTGTTACAGATGATATAGCACCTGGCTACCATAGCATTGTACAGAGGTAAGCCATGATCCATTCAGCATGCTGACTTTCCTGAATGGTAAATTGTTTAGTTTTAATGGATTTTTGCTTTAGACAGTAAGTTTAAAGCAAATGTTTTTGATGTGAGTAAAGGTAACCAGGTGGCAAACTAATCATTTCAGTGGCTGGATCACCAAAGATAGTCTAAAAGAATTAACCCCCTTTATTGCCTTTTCCAGTGAATAATTACTACATAGCGTGACTTTGGTTTTTGGATTAAGTGCATGTTTTGGGGTGAGAGGGTTGGTATTTGAGTCCTGGCAGCTAAGACTAAGGGTACATACGAGAAGATATATACAGTAGTAATATAGTCAGATCCAGTAGTATCCTTTTCCCCTCCATTTACCCATTTTGGTTTTTGGGTTTTTTTAGGCCTATGGATTTGTCAACTATTAAGAAAAACATTGAAAATGGATTGATCCGCAGCACAGCTGAATTTCAGCGTGACATTATGCTGATGTTCCAGAATGCTGTAATGTATAATAGCTCGGACCATGATGTCTATCATATGGCAGTAGAAATGCAGCGAGATGTCTTAGAACAGATCCAGGTACTTTGAGGATCTTTAGTATTTTAGTAAGGATGAAATAGAAATACTCAGGTGAAGAGTTGATACTGAGGTCAAGAAAGGGTGCTGTGGCTTTTACTTAGAATAGTCATCAGGGACACAATTAGGAACATAAAATTTTGTTCTTCCTAGATTCATGTTGGTTTTCTCATGTTGACTTGGTAAAAGAGTTACAAGAATATTCTCCCTTCTTTGGGCAAATAACTTCAGTTTCCTAAAGTTTTTAAATAATTTTTTTATGAAATGACGAATACCTTTTTATTTTTAAATTACATTAAGTATGTACATAGTAAATAGCATATAATTCTTTCCATCATGGATAATCGACTTCTATAGCAGCATTACCAGGCACTCTGGGATGTTGGACTTCCAAGGGATGTTATATATCTCTGTCTATCATCTGCTAAATTAAATTGCCTTTGGTTCATCTAAGGTTTTTTTTCTCTTTCTCATTCTTAAGAGATATTCCGTATGATAGCCCAAAAGAAGTTACATGTATTTAGGGGCGCCTCGGTGGCTTAGTAGTTTAATAAGCATCTGATGTCGGTGTAGGTCATTATCTCAAAACCCAGGAGTTCAAGCCCTGTGTCAGGCTCTGTTGACAGCTCGGAGCCTGGAGTTGGCTTCAGATTCTGTGTCTCCCTCTCTCTCTGCTCCTCCCCTGCTTACTCGCTCGCTCTCTCAAATACAAATATTTTTTTTAAAAGTTATAGATGTTTAGTATTTTTAGATTCTTTAGCATGCGTAACTAGAATTAAAACCTAATATGCAAAACTTGTAATCAGTTGAGAAGTGTTTGAATGCTGTTTACAAAAGGGTACTCATTATACGAAGTCCTGTTTACAAAGCCAAAAGTGTCTTAATTCTTCCATACTGGATCAGATCTTGGTGCCAACCCTGTTTCTTTTCCCTGTAGCAATTCCTCGCCACACAGTTGATTATGCAGACATCTGAGTCTGGGATCAGTGCTAAAAGTCTTCGAGGGAGAGATTCTACCCGCAAACAGGATTCTTCAGAGAAGGTGAGGAGACCAAGAAAGAGCCTGTATGCCAGTGTTCCGGTGCTAGAAGTCTGAAGCATCCATGGAGCCTTATGTTACTACTTGCTATTTGGTAACTGCTGGGTTGCTACCTTCCAGTGGTGTACAGACATGTATAAATCTTAGGATGGTGGTGGTTTGCATGCATCCAAACATTGAAGAAACCTCCTGTGACTGAAAGACCCAGTCATACAAGGAATTGTGAGCTGAATGAGTGAATTATTAATTTCTCTGCGTGAGTGCTTGCATGGTCGGGGAAATGACTTGTAGCAGTTGGGGACCATCAGTTCCTGTTCCAGAGACATAATGGCCAGACTGCTTTTGGATCTCTTTCCTCTTGTTCTTGAGTTTTTAAATTTTGTCTTTGTGTGTGTGGTGCTTGTGTCTCTGTCCTGAGGTTTGGGATGCTTGTGGCTGAGAGTTTCTGTGGAACCTGATCAGTGTTTGTTTGTCCTCTAACAGGACAGTGTCCCCATGGGCTCTCCTGCCTTCCTTCTCTCTCTCTTTGTAAGTATTGAATGGCTGCAAGGGGTGGTGTTGCCACAAAAATTCTCAGCTCCTGCTGGGGGCGGGTGGCAGAGGGAAATCCAACATGCAGGCTTTGGCAGTGTCTTGAACTTCTCTTTATTCAGGTCATTGAGTCAGAAACTGTCTCTTCTGCATTCCTGTCTTTCTGCATGTGTGTGTGTGTGGGCTGGGTAGGGACTATTTATGAGTTCACTGGGCTGGAATGAGGTATTCTTGGTAAGGATCTAGGATGCATCTGCTCCTCATTTCTTGACTCCACCTTTTACCAATTCTTTTCTTAGAAATAAATGATTGCTCAGAGCAGCAGCTACTCACTGGCTTCTAAAAATTGTTCCTCATACCAGCAGATACCCAGCACATAATTATTTTCTTTTTTCCTAATATTAAATTGCAAGACCGATGCCTGATATACACTCTATAAAATTTAAGATAAGATCTTAGTAAAAGTGACTACTGCATATAGTAGTGGCTGGTAGAATTAGAGATAAACTTAGTAAAGCTAGCCCTAAAGTAGTATCCTTTTCCTCTGAAAGTTGGAACAGTCCTCTGGCTCTGTGTTCATTACGGGGCACTGAGGCATGATGTAATGGAAGAACATCACGCTAAAAAGCCGCATGTTCTGAAACTCACCGGATTATCTCTTGGAACCTTGTTTTCCTCATCTGTGTGATGGAGCTAATATAATGAGGTACCTGTCCAGCCTACCTCACAGGGATGTTGTGAGGATAAAATGAGTTAATAAGTATGGAACTGGCTTGAAAAAAATATTAAAGTGTTACACAAATGCAAGGTGGTATTTTTATTCTTCATGTCGCCTCAAAGGCAACTTGTGTTCATGAGCTTTTAAAATTTTAGAGTCCTTGCATGTTAAGAATGTAAAAATGGCCTAGCCCAGCAAAAGTGTTCACTAATTCATCTTGCCTACAGGCCTCAGCCTGTACCACAGACGGAACACTGTAATCTCCCTGCTTTCTTATTGGCCTGCAACAGTGACTCTGGATCCCCAAGCAGTTGGCTGGCTGTTGCAAAGCTGGTTAATAGGATCTTTTATCTATTGAAGACAGCAAAGTATTGCACAAGAGGAAGGAGGAGCTGGGCTGCAGGGAGAGAGCAGCAGATGGAAAGAAGCCTTCTGATTGTCCTGATCTCATGGAAAACAACTGTCAGGAGGTGCTAGGGAACTAGTGCCAGGGTCAGTCTGCAGGAAAGGCCTTTCTTATAGGGACCAACAGCTGGACAGGTATGTTAGCCAAGAATCTCGCTATCCACTGCCCTTTCTGACCCTCCCACCTTTCTTTTACTCTCCCTCTTCCTTGGAACATGGTTTGGGGCCTGGGTGGGATGACTAATAGTCATTCTTTGGGACTCCAGGTGACTCCTAGTGACTCTAGTGGGCAGGAGCAAGATACTCTGTCCTGCATTATCTCTCCTCACAAACTGTTGGCAGGAGGTTTTAGCCCACTCTGTGGGAAGACAGATCTATTCCCCTCATATCCTGGATTTTTCTGCTGATTCTCTTCCTCTTTCCCCAAGAAACCAAATTCCCAACATTGTTGTTGCAACTTCTCTTTCACCTCCTAACCAACTTGTACTCATGCTCTCTTTCTTTGTCTGCCTGTCATCTAGGATGGGGGAACCAGGGGGCGCCGCTGCGCCATTGAAGCAGATATGAAGATGAAGAAGTGAAGCTTCAGAGTACTCTCACAGAGCTGGACCTGAAGTAGAAGTAAACAAGATAGAGCTTGGGCTTGTGGGCCCAGTTCCAGAAGTGGAAGTTATGGAAGAGGAGGCACGTGGGCCCTGTGACATGAGCTAAGGAAATCTCTCTCAGAGAGTTGGAGTAGCACAGTTGCCTGTTTTAGGGCAAAAATCTTGGGCTATGTTAATGTCCTAATGTGTAGCTAGCAGATTGTAGCTAGTTTGTACTGTCTTGTGAAGTGTACAGACTTTTTAAAAAACAAAAAACAAAACCACCTGTGAAGTGTGTGTGTACACAATACACAATAAACTCTGAAAGAAAAGTCTAGCCTTTGGTGTGTTCTCTGTGTATATGCGTGTGGGAAACTTGTGATTCTTTTTCTGCATGATAGTTTTATCATCTCTGGGAATGAGATTATTGCGTTGGGAGTGGTATTATAAATATGAGCTTGGAGAAGGTAAGTAACCTAATTGAATTTATAATTAATGTCTTAAAGTGTTGCCTCGTGTAATGAGGATAATCTTATTCAGCTTTTCTTGAATGTTTGGGAAAACCTAAGATTTTCAGAGTTTTGTTCATGGCATTGCTTTTGAAGAATATTAGAACATGAACATAGGTAGCCCTGACCTTGTTCTCAGACATTGGTTCTACCTAGTGTACTGTTTTTGCAGATGTTATTTCTAGGATGTTATAATACTACTTCCTACTAATACTTGTAGGGTTCTTGTGTATTTTAAAATTCATTGTTGGGGCACCTGGGTGGCTCAGTCGGGTAAGCGTCTGACTAGGCTTAGCTCATGATCTTGCGGTTCTTGAGTTCGAGCCCTACATCAGGCTCTGTGCTGACAGCTCAGAGCCTGGAGCCTACTTCAGATTCTGTGTCTCCCTCTCTCTGCTCCTCCCCCACTCATGCTCTGTCTCTCAAAAAATAAACTTTAAAAAATAAAAATAATAAGGTTCATTGTTAATGGAAGGCTAAAATCCATTTAAGAGTTACCAAATTTATCACCTGAGTTTATTCCAACTTTTATTACTAAATAAGAACTATGTGAAGCGAAATAGTTACGAGCCTTTTATTACAAAGAAATAGGCCAAAAAAGACACAGGGTATTGTCTACAATGTTGAACCTTCTTAAGAAAGATGCGTTTAAGAAAGTTTTTAGAAGTCTCAGATCTTTTCGGCTTAAACTATATAGCTTACGATGCTAAGCAAGTAGAAGATGCAGTCCTGTGAGGTGATAGAAAGGAGTTCAATCAATCCAGGAGTTAGAACATTAAGTAACTGTGCTATATTCTCAAAGCAATCTACAAACTTGCATGTGGTCTAAGCAGCGAAGCCCTAAAAATTGGAGAGGACTGTGGAGTAGATCTATTAAAGGACATAGACTTTGGCTTGGTAGAGAAGGTGATGCATGAGCTTAGCAGAGCAGATTGGATCAAGGATTAAGAAACTGACTAGGAGGCTATAACATTTATTCTGGAACAAAGGATGAGCATTGGAAAAATTGTTGAAAATTGGGATGTGGGCTTGCTTACTGAATACAAGAGAAGGAAAGAGGATTAAGAAAATAGCATTGATGACGGGCATAAGAATTGGGGAGAGCATATGCTTTTAGAGATACTCAGGAAGTGATTTTAGTTTTAGAAATGTTGAGTTGAAGCAGGTGGTAGAGTTCCCAAAAGGAATTGACTTTTGGGTACATGGAAAAATGAAACCAGAACACATAAATAAAGGTAGAGGTTCAGGAGCCATCTGAATTGTTGAATAGGAGCCATGTGATCAAAGTTGAAACCTCAAAATACATCATTTTAAGGAGGTATTTATGAGGGAGCAGAGGCCAAGCAAGAATATATAGAAGACAAGGATTTCTTGAAACTTGTAAAAGGGAAGAGAAAGGGGTAAGAAAACTAGGATCGTGTAATAAGATATTTTAAAAACTTGATATTGCCGTTCTTATTCTAAGAAGTGAGCGATGGATATGATGAGGTAATTTAAAAATTTTTAATTTAAAATTAAAAATTTTTAAATTGCCACAGGTAATTTTAAAGTGTTGAGGATTTAGTGGATGTCTATGCGCTGAGCAAAATATCTTGTCTTTCAGTTGGATTGCCTTCCAGTTAAGCTTAAAGGTAATTTGGGATAGAGGAATTCTGTTCAACTAGCTAGGCTCCTGTCCCTTCCTTTTATTTTATTTTTTTTAGTGTAGGGAAACCCAAGAAAGAATTACTGGTTAATACCTCTGTTAAACTGTTTAACTGTTTGACCTAAGGCTTTTTCATTTTATTCCCAATGACAAAGATTTCCTTTAATATCTCCCTTCAGCTAGCTTTTTTTTTTTTTTTTTTTTTTTTTTTTTTTTTTTTTAGGAGAGAGAGAGAGAGAGAGCCTGAGCAGGGGAGGGTCAGAGAGAGAGGGAGACACAGACTCTGAAACAGGCTCCAGGCTCTGAGCTGGCAGTCAGCACAGAGCCCGACGTGGGGCTCGAACCCACGAACCGCGAGATCATGACTTAAGCGAAAGTTGGACACTTAACCGACTAAGCCACCCAGGCACCCCTTTTTAAATTTTTTTTTTTTTTAATTTCCCTTCAGCTAGCTTTTATTCTTTCTAATGGTGAGTAGAAAGAAATTTCTGATCCCTCATCTTTCTACTGAACTTTGGAGATGGAAATGTCTTAGCAACAGCGATATGAGTGAATTTAATGCATTTTTTTTTCTGTGTATTTACAGATGGGACATGAGTGGGTTTGGTTGGATTCAGAGCAAGACTATCCCAATGACTCTGAGCTGAGCAACGACTGCAGGTCCCTCTTCAGTTCATGGGATTCCAGTCTGGATCTTGATTTGGGAAGCTGGAGAGAAACAGAGGAGCCAGGGGCTGACGAACTAGAGGAAAGCAGCCCAGGGAGAGAACCTAGTGAGCTGCTTATGGGGGATGGAAGCAGTGAGGAATCTCAGGAAGAGGCAGAGCAAGTCAGTCGCCAGAATCTCCTCCACTTTCTTTCTGAGGTAATGGGAAGCCATTATTTCCATAGTTGGAAGTCTCAAGTTTCTAAGAGAATGCTTACCTGTACACATTTCTGCCACTTTTAATATTGTTTACTAAAACACAAGCTCCACAGTGGCAAAAACTAAGTTAATGGTAGTGTCTCTAGCAGTTGGTGCTAATACAAAATATGTGCCAAATACGTACCTTTTGACTGACCTAAGATCCTAGTCCTGAGGAGCCCAAGGTCATAGGAAGTAGAATTTCTCTATGCAGGACTGCCTTATGAATATCCTTGCAGTTTGTTTTTCTGAGTCATTGGAGGCAATGCCCAAACTCTTTTTGAAGCTTATAACATGACTTCAAGGCAGTATTTTGTAGTGTCCTTATTAGGGTTGAGCACCAGCAATAAACTGAATTGGACAGTTTATCTGGCAATTTCACACATTAAGGAGAACCTAGTTTAAGATCAGCAAGAATCCAGCTTATGTGCTATGCTCCTATCTGGATTGTCCATGGTGGGTAAAATTTTCACCAGTTTTGTAGACTGCCACTCCCAATTCCTCAGTTGACAAGACTTGAAAAATTAGAGCACAAGCTCCTTCAAGAGGCAAGAACGATATGTATCTTGTTTCCTATTGAGTCCCTAGCAACTAGTCAAGCGTATGTGTATATGAGATATTTTATACATTTTATTTTTTTAATGTATGTTTATTTTGAGAGAGAGTACAAGCAGAGGAGGGACAGAGAGAGAGAGACAGTAACTGAAGCAGGCTCCAGGCTCTGAGCTGTCAGCATAGAGCCTGATGTGGGGCTCTAGCCAACAAACTGCAAGATCATGATCTGAGCTGAAGTTGGACACTTAGCCAGCTGAGCCACCCAGGCACCCCAATATTTTTGTATTTTAAATAAAGGAATGAATGAATTAATCCATTTCCATCTCAAACTTAGTCACAGTCTGTGTAGACATGTAGCATGAATAATATGTAGATGATGGTTTCCATTGGTGTTCCTCTGCATCTAATAATAAACTGTCATTGCAGGTAGCTTATTTAATGGAGCCATTGTGCATTAGCAGCAAAGAATCAAGTGAAGGCTGCTGTCTTTCATCTGGTACCAGACAACAGGACAGAAGGGAAATTGAAGCTACTGAAGGAGAAGAGCCATGCAAAGAGCCCAAACAGCTTTCAGCCTGGGTAGACCCCTTAGTAGCTGAGAAGTCAGTAGGAGAAAGTGGAAGGCCAGAGGTGGCTCCAGCTCACTCACATATTTGTGCTATTCGGCAACTATCCACAGAGAGTGAAGAAGTAAGTAGGTAACTTAAACCATCTTGCTGATTGGTCTTCTGCCCAGGGAGGCAGAACAGGGTGGTTACTGCACATAGGCTATCTCCAGAGAGTTTAGCTACCTGGGTCCAAATCCTGCTTTTAGCACCCATGAGCTGTGTGACCTTAGGTGTGTCAGTGAACATCTTAGAACCTCAGCTTTTCTCCTGTAAATGAAATAATGGTGCTTTCTCTACCTTAGGTTATAATGAAATTTAAATGAGACATTACCTGGCTCATAGTAAGAGATCAGTAAAATTTAGAATGCCATTATCATTAGTATTATCTGATCGGCTAGACTAGTTAACTCAAGGGCCACAAGTCATACTGACAATTTTAAAAGAATACAGCATCCATGTAGAAATTAATATATTGCTTTTTCATTTTTTTCTTGGGGTACAGAATCACAGTTCTCCAGCCATATTGTTACCAAGAAATCATTGATGTGTAGACTTACTGAAATCACCTTTCTCTAATTTCTTTTATAGCTTTATTTTTTATTCTTCCCATCTTAAGGTCAGCTTTGATTTACCCCATGCAGGTAGAATTACCTTGCTGATAGTAAATCTCTTTCTAAAGTTTCCTTTGTTGATTGGCGTTCCCAGGGAGAGGTTGAGCAAGAATCCAAAGAGGAGGACCAGGGTGAAGGGTATGTGTCAGAGTTGGAAGACCAGCCCTCTTCAGGTGAGTATGATGATGGCTTCAGCATTCAGAAGACTCCTCTGGTGGATATCCTTTTCAGCCGTGCTACCTCCTCAAAGTCGTAAGTATGGATTTTTATCCAAAGTTGTTAAGATTCAGACTTTTAATTTTATTTATGCCTATTTGAATTTGTTACCATGAACATGGACTACTTTTATAAATTGAAAAAAGGAAATTAGAATTGCAAAACACTAGAAGTAGAATTAAATATAATTTTATTGTACAAATCAAAGTCTTTATGTTTTCCTCTTAAAAAACAAATCTGTTTCAGATGCTTGGCTAGCTCAGTCAGTAGAGAATGTGACTCTTGATCTTGGGGTCTTGAGTTTGAGTCCTATATGGGGTGTAGAGCCTACTTAAAAAAATTCTGTTTCATCAACATTGAGAATCTCTTTGATATATAACTTTTCTCTCTGATTACTATATTTATTCAGGAAACATTGCTCAGTCAGGTTGTCCCTTAAGTCTAATACTGAAACTCTACTTCTTTCTAAAATAGTAAAACAGCTTCTCTTAACTTGGAATACAAAACGTGATAGTACTCGAGTACTAGTGATCAATGAGACTATTTATAGAGGTTGGAATGTCTTATAGAAGCATTAAATAATGTTTTTATTCCTATGGTGGTATTTCCTTCAGATATTAACTAGGAGTGCTATGTATTAGGAAAATCTCGTTACCCACCTGGAATAAACAGACTACCATTTGTGAAGTTACTGCTTCCTTTCTGGCCTGTTTTATTCCATAGGTCTGATCTAGGCCACAGTGACCCTGTTCAGGATCACTTGCTATTTAAGAAGACTCTCTTGCCAGTCTGGAAGATGATTGCCAGTCACAGGTGGGTCTCCACACCATTCTTGGCATTCACAGCCACTCTTCGCAGTTTGAGTGACTTCCCAGGGTTTCTTCATCCTGTCAGAGTTTGTTCCTTAACAGGTTCAGCAGTCCTTTTCTGAAACCTGTGTCAGAAAGGCAGGCCCCGGGATACAAGGATGTGGTGAAAAGGTTAGTGGAAAAGGGGTCAAAAAAGGTTAGTTGCTTTTATACCTGTCTTTTCATACTTCTTTTTCCCATCTATTAGTTCCTTCCTTCCTCTTTCTCTCCCTGTCTTTCTTTTTTCAAAGATTTTTTTTTTTTAAATATATTTTTCAATGTTTTATTTATTTTAGAGAAAGAGAGGAAGGGGCAGAGAGAGCAAGAGACACAGAGTCTGAAGCAGGCTCCAGGCTCTGAGCTGTCAACACAGAGTCCAACAAGAGGCTCAAATCTGTGGATCCTGAGATCATGACCTGAGCCAAAGTCAGACACTTAACTGACTGAGCCACCCACACACCCCATAAACATTTTATTTTTAAGAATCTCTACACCCACCGTGGGGCTTGAATTTAGAGCCCTAAGATCAAGAGTTATATGTTCTACCAACTGAGTCAGCCAGGTGCCCTGATTATTTCTTTATTTCATTTACATTACTTATAAACTCAAGATATATTTTACAGCTGAACACATTTGTAAAGTATTGGTAAGCTTGGTCTTTATTTGAGAAGAAATGCAAGGGACAAAGGATAATAATAGGCTTTTGTCTTTATTGGTATTGATTTATAAGTAATATCCATCTTAGTCTTTGATAATATTTGATACGACTCTTTTGGAACAAAACTTTAAATTTATTTATTTATTTTTAATTTTTTTTAATGTTTTACTTATTTCTGAGAGAGAGAGAACATGAGCAGGGGAGGGTCAGAGAGAGAGGGAGGTACAGAATCAGAAACAGGCTCCAGGCTCTGAGCTAGCTGTCAGAACCTGACGTGGGGCTCGAACCCACGAACTGTGAGATCATGACCTGAGCCGAAGTCGGACGCTTAACCAACTGAGCCACCCAGGCACCCCTAAATTTATTTTTTTAAGTTTATGTACTTCTTTTGAGGTGGGGGGCAGGGAGAGAGAGAGGTGGTGGGGGGGAGGAGAGGGAGAGAGGGAGAGTCTCCAGCATGCTCTATGCTATTAGTGCAGAGCCTGATGCAGGGCTCAATGTTATGAGCCATGAGATCCTGATCTGAGCTGAAATCAAGAGTTGTACGCTTAACTGACTGAGCCACCCAGGCACCCCTGGAATAAAACTTTAAAAAGCTGCTAATCCAAATGGTTATTTACAAACATTGGTTGATACTACTATTTTGGATTTTTATAGCCTAGTTCACCTAAAATGCTGTGCTAAACCAGTGTGTAAATAGAATGTAAAAGATCAGGAAAGGACCTTTGGAGACAGACTCCTTCATTCTATAGATGAGGAAAGTTGGGCGCCTGGGTGGCTCAGTTGGTTAAGCGTCCAACTTCAGCTCAGGTCATGATCTCATGGTTCGTGGGTTTGAGCCATGCGTCAGGCTCTGTGCTGACAGCTAGCTCAGAGCCTAGAGCTTGCTTCGGATTCTGTGTCTCCTTCTCTCTCTGACCTTCCCCTGTTCACACTGTCTCTCTCTCTTTCTCTCTCAGAAATAAATAAAAACATTGAAAAAAATTTTTAAAAAATAGATGAGGAAAGTAAGGTTTAGAGATTCTCATGACTTGGGAATGTTCAACAGTGAATAGCAGAACTAGATCTAAACCCAATTCTTTTTTTTTTTTTTTAATTTTTTAATTTACATCCAAGTTAGTTAGCTTATAGTACAAGAATGATTTCAGGAGTAGATTTCATAATGCCCCTTACCCATTTAGTCCATCCCCCTCCTACAACTCCTCCAGTAACCCTCTGTTTGTTCTCTGTGTTTAAGAGTCTCTTATGTTTTGTCCCCTTCCCTGTTTTTATATTCTTTTTGCTTCCTTTCCCTTATGTTCATCTGTTTTGTATGTTAAATTCCTCATATGAGTGGAGTCTTATGATTTTTGTCCTTCTCTGACTAATTTTGCTTAGCATAATAATACCCTCTAGTTCTATCCACATAGTTACAATTGGCAAAGATGACATTCTTTTTGATTGCCAAGTAATACTCCATTGTGTATATATACCACATCTTTATCCAGTCATCTGTCAATGGGACATTTGGGCTCTTTCCATACTTTGGCTATTGTCTGTAGTGCTGCTATAAACATTGGGGTGCATGTGTTCCTTTGAAACAGCTCACCTGTATCCCTTGAATAAATACCTAGTAGTGCACTTGCTGGGTTGTAGGGTAGTTCTGTTTTTAATTTTTTGAGGAGCCTCCATACTGTTTTCCAGAATGGCTGCACCAGTTTGCATTCTCAGCAGCAGTGCAAAAGGGTTCCCCTTTTTCCATATCCTTGCCAGCATCTGTTGTTGCCTGAGTTGTTAATGTTAGCCATTCTGACAGGTGTGAGGTGGTATCTCATTGTGATTTTAATTTTGATTTCCCTGAAGATGAGTGATGTTGAGCATTTTTCCATGTGTCATTTGGCCATCTGGATGTCTCCTTTGGAGAAGTGTCTTCATTTCTTTGCCCGTTTCTTCACTGGATTATTTTTTTGGGTCTTGAGTTTGATAAGTTCTTTATAGATTTTGGATACTCACCCTTTATCTGATATGTCATTTGTAAATATCTTCTGCCATTCCATTGGTTGCCTTTGAGTTTTGCTGATTGTTTTCCTTTGCTGTGCATAAGTTTTTATTTTGATGGGATCCCAATAGGCCATTTTTGCTTTTGTTTCCCTTACCTCTCGAGACGAGTAAGAAGTTGCTGCCTCCAAGGTCAAAGAGGTTTTTGCCTGCTTTCTCCTTGAGGATTTTGATGGCTTCCTATCTTACATTTAGATCTTTCATCCATTTTGAGTTTATTTTTGTGTATGGTGTGAGAAAGTGGTCCAGGTTAATTTTTCTGCATGTTGATGTCCAGTTTTCCCAACACCATTTGCTGAAAAGACTGTATTTCTTTGGATATTCTTTCCTGCTTTGTCAAAGATTCGTTCACCATACGTTTGTGGGTCCATTTCTTGGGCTCTCTAACCTGTTGCATTGATCTGAGTGTCTGATTTTGTGCCAGTACCATACTGTCTTGATGACTACAGCTTTGTAATACAGCTTGAAGTCTGGTATTGTGATGCTTCCAGCTTTGGTTTTCAAGATTGCTTTGCTCTTCAGGGTCTTTCTGGTTACTTAGAAATTTTAGGATTGTTTGTTCTAGCTCTGTGAAGAATGCTGGTGTTATTTTGATAGGGATTACTAAACCCAATTCTTAACTTGTAGTTCAGTCCTCTTTCTACACTGCTTTGTTTTCTATTATATGCCCACTCTTTGTGTCTCATTCAATAATTATTTAGGTAAACATTGACTTGATTCACACACTTTTCATCTCCACACAAGGAGAAAAACATTTTTAACTTTTGATTATATAGTAAGAGAAGCAGATTAAACAACTAGTTTATGACTATACATTGTTAACAATCAGTGAGTCAGTCAGTCAGTACAATGGAACAGACTAATCGTTGGAGCTCTTTACAACTTTGGTACCAGGGGCCAGCATTCTTCCCACAGTAATAGAATGTAGTAGCTGGGCTTGTGGGCTCTGGAGTCAAGCTGCCTCTGAATTGGAATCCAAACTGTGTGACTTTGAGCAAGTACTTAATCTCTCTAGATGTGTTTCTTCTTTGCCAATAGGTGATAATAAGGTGCCTAGCTTATCGTTTTACTGAGAGGAACAGGTGAGTGAATATAGAAAGTACCTAGCACACCTCTTGGCCTGTTGTAAGACGTCAGATGTTAGCTGCTGCTGGCATTTTATTATCTGATGGAAATTGTTATCTTTGCTACTGTTTTATTTACTACCGTATTCATTTACTGCTTGGAGAGCTGGTTCTCCACGAGAGCATGTTAGGTCCCACATAGTCAACATGAAAGTTTGATTTCCTCTCGTTTTTGTTGGCCACCTGTAGACCCATGGACTTAACTAGCCTGAAAAGGAATCTGTCTAAGGGACGGATTCGTACCATGGCTCAGTTCCAGCGTGACCTGATGCTGATGTTCCAAAATGCTGTGATGTACAATGACTCTGATCATCATGTGTACCATATGGCTGTGGAGATGCAGCGAGAAGTCTTGGAGCAGATTCAGGTACTATATGTAAGAGAGCTGTAAGAAAAAGGGAGTACAGCCTCTGGAATCTCATTTTACTAAGTCTTTGAGAATAAGATTGATGTTAAAATGACGTTGTGTTCTCAGAGTTTATGTTCAGGTGTGATCAAAAGCCCCGAGGTATTGACATTGTACCTACTGCTTAGGAAAACCTTAAACCTCTGTAGGACCAGCTTTAATAGATAATGAAGTAAAGTAGTATAGGAAGACCAGCAGCAGTGAAGTCTCAAGAGAGCTGGGAATAGATAAGTAACAGGAGCTCCTACTTTCAGAGCCTCAGCTTAGAGGGCTAAACATGTAAACCAAAGGCTGGAATCACTATCCATCTTTTGGTTCCTATACTTGTTGGTATTAATGTATGTTCACGCTGTCTCATCTCTAGGGGTAAGACATGATAGACAAAAGAGGACAGAGGGTTTCTTTTCTGGGCAAGACCATACTTTAAAGAAAAAAAGCATAGTCATAGCTTATTGCAGAAAAAGAAATTGCAATCAAATCTCTGTAGTTTTTAAGATTCATAGCTTGCTGTTTCCTTGTCTCTATAGGTGCTGAGTATTTGGTTAGACAAAAGAAGAGACTTAAATAGTTTGGAATGAGAACCAGTCAACCCTGTGGATGATGGAAAACCTCTTTTGTTAACCAGGAGCTGCTATCCTGACATTTTCTGGATTTGGGACCTCTTATTGAGACTTAGAGAAGATCCCAGTACTTGTTTACCAGTTCTCTGTTGTCTTTTCTAATAAGAAAAATGCCTTAATTCACAACCAGGGAGTCACGGGTGCCTGTGGACATAACATAAAGCGGGGAAAGCTCAGATTTGGGGCCAAGCTGTAAATGTTGCCCACGTTTTTGTTCCATGGGCTTGATTTAGATGTAACTAAATTAAACGTCTTATAACTGCTCTATAAATAAATATTATTTCACAAGTTATAGATTGCTTTTTACTGATTACAGAGTCTGGGATTAGAGGGGATAATGTCTGATGGAATGAGTAAGGTACTTGGCTTGGATTTTCTTACATATACTGTCTGTACTAGGATGGTGTAGGATGAAGTGAGAGTATCTTATGATTTGTCTCCTTATTTATAAGATTGAGATAACTGAAGCATCTTTCAAATGGCTAGGAGGGTGAAATAAGATGAAAATGTTAAAAAAACATCTAGTGCTCTTAAGATTCCCAGGGGGAAATAAAGATATCTGTAGGCTGGCACCCTGTCTTGGATAAAAGAAATCACCCAGAGCCTGTGAAGTAATCTGCTGGATTGGCCCTCTGCTAGTTTGGCCCTGTTCAGCCACCGTCCCTGAACTGTGCCTCAGGTCTCCTAGCAACAAGCTGAGGTGGCACTGGAGGAACAGGCGCTAGGGTGAGTGCTCAGAATCTGCAGTGGAGGGAAAGGCACTGCAGTTTGGCGATCCTGCTTTCTAACCAGGACAGACCTTATGTGTGGTCTTCCCAGAAGGGCGGGAATGGGGGGCGGTGGGTTACCTGCCAATAGGGTAGAGAGTTGCTGCAGAGTGGCCAACAGAGCGTTCACCTGCAGCTCTTAGAGTCTGCACCAGACCCAAGCCTTCAGACTGCCCCCTTGCCTCTCCCTCTCAAGTAATGGGCTTAGGAATACCAAGGGCATGGATTAGAAGTAGAGGAGAAATGGTTTTTGTTAGTTTGGTTTTTTTTACTTTAGTTTAAGTAATCTCTGCACCCAACCTGAGGCTCCAACCCATGACCCAGAGATCAAGAGTCTCATGCTCTTCAAACTGAACCAGCCAGGCACCTTCCCAACCTCATATCATATTATCAAGACACTGCTCATAGAAAAACACTCAGCAGTTTCTAACTTTATAAGTTAATAAAATCAAGCACCTAATAACTCTGTTCTTAGTCACAATTACATTAAGTATGGGGTGGGGTTAATGCATGTCATTGCAGTTGATTCCTGCGGAGAATCTCCTAAATTTACATTTAAAAAAAGCCAGAATGGAGATATCAATGTCCCTGCCTCAGATATATGTAGAAAAAACTCTGGCTATTATCAAACCAGATATTGTTGACAAAGAGGAGGAGATACAAGATATTATTCTCAGATCTGGATTCACCATTGTTCAGGTAACTTCTGGGCATGATGATGTTTTTTACCTCTCTTTGCTTCTTTTTTAAATATTTATGTAAATATGTTAACCTATTTATTTCCTTAGTTTTTAGCTTTAAACTTAACATTTAAGTATAAAAGTTGTATGTGCTTGTTTTAAAAAATTTTCACACTTCAAAAGGATCTAAAATGAGAATTAAAATTCCTTTTTCCACCACCTTCCTCTCCCACCGAAGTCTTAGTTTCCAGGGAAAGGCATCTACTTAACACTTTCTGTCCTTTCAGGATTTTTCTATGCATTTATAAACATTTTCCTCCATAAAGTAATACAGTTCTCTTCCATTGACCCCCCTTTTACAAAGTTGCTCAGATAACATTCCATGTTATTACATCTGAATCTTCCTAATTCTAACTTCTGTATAATATTTCCCTGTGTGAATGAACCACAGTTTATTTACTTGTTCCTCAATTGATGGACTGTTGATATTTTCTTTTTCAATTATTACAAACATTTAATGTGCTAAGCCTTATTCTGCAGTTGGTAGAGGTTTGAAAATGTATGTCAAAAGAGTGTTGTTAAGGATTATCATTAGGGGTGCCTTGGTGGCTCAGTCGATTAATGTCCAACTCTCGATTTCAGCTGAGGTCATGATCTCACGTTTTGTGGGTTCATGCCCCTATCAGGCTCTGTGCTGACAGTGTGGAGCCAGCTTGGGATCCTTTCTCTCCTTCTCTCTCAAAATAAATAAATAAAATTTTAGGAAAAGATTATCAGGTATAATGGGATTTTTGAAAATGTTTGTTTTTGAGAGAGATTGAGAGAGGGAGACAGAGTATCATAAGCAGGCTCTGTACACCCTGATGCAAGGCGCCATCTCACCAGTGGTGAGATCATGACCTTAGCTGAAATTAAGAGCCAGATGTTCAATCATCTGAGCCACCTAGGTGCCCCTGGATATTTTAAATAATCCTTTTCTGAACCATCCGTACTTGAAATTCCAGGGTTTTTTACTTTCTTATATGGCTGCAGTGTCATATTGTCTGTTTTGTCAGTGTTTTAACTGAGTCCTCAGGAAAGATGGGAGATTTCAGGTAAGCTTAGAAGGATACATAGAGGCTCAAGGTAGGAATGGTACAAGAAAGTGTAAGGAAATAGTGCAGGAATGTATAATAAAAATATTTAATATATTTAAAAGACTCAGGTAAAGTTTTTTTTTTTTAATGTTTGATTTATTTCTGAGAGAGAGAGAGACAGCATGAGCAGGGAAGGGTCCGAGAGAGAGGGAGACACAGAATCCGAAACAGGCTCCAGGCTCTGAGCTGGCTGTCAGCACAGAGCCTGATGCGGGGCTCAAACCCACGAACCGTGACATCATGACCTGATCCAAAGTCGGACGCTTAACTGACTGAGCCACCCAGGCGCCCTAGGTAAAAAAAATTTTTAATAAATGTTAGGAAAATTGGATAACCATTAAAAAAGAGCTGGATTCAAATATTATACTGTGTACACCAGGGTGAACTCCAAATGGATTTAAGATTTAAATATTTAAAAAATTGGGTTGCCTGGGTGGTTCAGTCGGTTAAGCATCCAACTTCGGCTCAGGTCATGATCTCACAGTTTGTGGGTTCAAGCCCCACGTCAGGCTCTGTGCTGACAGCTCAGAGCCTGGAGCCTACTTTGGATTCTGTGTCTCCTCTCTCTGACCCTCCCCTGCTCATGCTGTCTCTCTCTCTCTCAAATAAATTTAAAAACATTAAAAAAATTAAATATTAAAAAAATTAAACATAGGGCCGCGTGAGTGGCTCAGTCAGTTAACCGTCTGACTTTAGCTTACATCATGATCTCTTGGCTCATGAGTTTTAGCCCTGAGTCAGGCTCTGTGCTGACAGTTTAGAGCCTAGAGCCTGCTTCAGATTCAGTGTCTCCCTCTCTCTCTGCTCTTCCCCTGCTCACACTCTGTCTCTCTCAAAACTGAACATTAAAAAATTTTTTAATAAAAATTATTAGTGAAAACTGAAGTATGAATTAAATTATGAATTAAAAATTATTGTGAATTGTGTAATTTAACACTTTTCCTAATCAGTAAATTTCATAGCAAAGCCTTGATATACATATGCTTTTTTCTTTGTTTTAATTGTGATAAAATATATACAACATAAAATTTACTATTTTCACCATTTTTAGGTGTACAGTTCAGTAGCATTAGGTACCTTGCCTTTATTGTGCAGCCATCACCACTATCCATCTCTAGAACTTTTTCATCAACTGAAACTGAAACTGCGCTTATTAATTACTCTGTTTACCCCTCTTCCCAGCCTCTGATAACCACTATTCTGCTTTTCCTGTCTCTCTGAATTTGACTATTCCAGATATCTCATGTAAGTGGAGTTGTATAGTATTTATTCTTTTAAAACAGGCTTTACTGTAGTTGGGAGTCCACTGAACTTGAGGCTTTCTTGTCCCATCTAGGGAAAACCTTCTGAAAAATTGATGTATCCTTTCAGTAGGTGGCAGTCTTTTTTCTTTTAGAAACTAATGGTTCCTTTTCTGATATCATTTAATACTGCTTTTCTTTGTGAAAATATTCACCCAGACTCCAAAAAGTTTTACCTAATGGTTTTTTTTGTTTTTGTTTTTTTTTAATTTAATGCTCCTACTTTCAAACAAATCTCCAAACTCACAACCCCAAGACCGAGAGTTGCATGTTTCACTGACCAAGCCAGTCAGGTGTCCCTGATGTAATTTTAATTCAACCAATATAATTACAGATTCAGTGTTAATTTCAGTTTATTTTTTGAGAGAGAGCACACAAGTCAGGGAGGAACAGATAGGGGGACAGAGGATCTGAAGTAGGCTCCGCACTGACAGCAGTGAGCTTGATGTGGGGCTGGAACTCACAAATGGTAAGATCATGACCTGAGCCAAAGTCAGACGTTTAATCAACTGAGCCACTCAGGTGCCCCTCAATTTTAGTTTAAAAGGAGCTTTTGGAGTGTCTGGGTGGCTCAGTTGGTTAAGCTTCTGACTCTTGATTTTGACTTAGGTTATGATCCCTCGGTTCCTGGGTTTGAGCCCCATATGGAGCTCTGCCCTGAGTATGCAAAACCTGCCTGTATTTCTCTCCTCTCTCCCTCTCTCTCTGCGCCCCCCTCACAAAATAAACTTAAAAAAAAATAAAAGGAGCTCTTAATTTTTATAAGTATGCTGCATTCGGTGGCACACCTGCAGATGTTGAGTTCCCTTGCTTGTTAAGGGGTGTGTGATAAGGGCTTACATTTAAACAGATCAAATTTTTATTTTTAACTCAGCAACAGCCCCCCCCCCCCATACCAATATGGGTAAGAATCACAAATACTGACACATCTTAATTTTATTTTATTTATTTTTTTAAAAATTTTTTAATGTTTTTTATTTATTTCTAGGGGAGAGAGAGAGACAGCGTGAGCAGGGGAGGGTCAGAGAGAGAGGGAGTCACAGACTCTGAAACAGGCTCCAGGCTCTGAGCTGGCAGTCAGCACAGAGCCCGACATGGGGCTCGAACCCACGAACCGCGAGATCATGACCCAAGCGAAAGTTGGACGCTCAACCAACTAAGCCACCCAGGCGCCCCGACACATCTTAATTTTAAATAATAGAATCAATGTTTATGTTTAATGGCAGTTTTATAATTTCTCGAGTTTCTTTTTCTTGACTATATGAATTTCAGTATGAGAACAGATACAGGCACCTATTTTGTGGTAGCTGGTCCTTGGCTGGTGAGAATGTTTGTCAGTAGAGCCTATTTACAGCAATGCTGACCCATCTAGGTAAGCA